TATATATTGGTTTATATAGCGGTTATAAGTGCGTACTACCACGCCGCAGGGCCTGGGTCCGTTCGCTAGTCCGTTGTTTCTAACGACAAACCTCCGAATGTATTTCTGCCTAAGCAAAAGCGAAAGCGACAAAAAAGAGAAAAATAAAGAATATATGGAGCATTCTGGGTCAAAGGGAGCTGATTTCAGTTATGATTCGTAAAAGATTTCTGAATCTATTTGAATCCAAATGAAAATGTCAACTTCTACTTAAGTTATTTATTCTTATTCTTCTTGTTTCGGCGCTGTAGCCGTTGTTTGTGTTCTGTACCAACTCACACCAATTGGAAATGCAGTGCTAAACCGAGTCCTTCTCCACTGGGCTCTCAACCGCAGAGAGGGCCTCCCATTTCCTCAGCTACCACCAGCAAGTAACTTGGTCTTGTTTTGGTGCACCTCCAGAACTACTCACTGAGTTTTCATCTGTAATTATACGCTCTTATATAAAACTGTTCCAGAGTGGCTCCATTATGCAGCACTTAGTATATTATCCAGAATCAGATTAAAGATGTCCATCCCAGAAACTTCCTTTGATATCGAACGGCACGGAGTGGTCCATCTCATTTATTTTTTTCTAAGAGTTGAGGTACTTCTATGGTGGACTTACCAGAACGAAAACCACGTTGACATGACCTAATCAGTTCGTTGACGGCGGGCTATGGCTTTTCATACAAAATGCTCTAATAGATCTTATATGCAACGTTTAAGAGGCTAATCCTGCGGTAAAACGCGCAGGAACTTTGCTAAGATTTTTATAAGTACATAAGTATGTATTTATGAAAGCGCATATCGCGCCCTAAATCAAAAACAGTCGCATCTCAAAATTTTTCAAAATTTATTTTTTCTAATAAAACAGTTCGCAGACCACATTTCTAACGTCCGCCAAAATTGATCCTTCATCAATATCTTATTTAACTGAAAAAACACTAATAAGACTGCTTTTATTTTTCTTGCGTCATTATGCAGCCTTCTGGAAACTTATGCCGGTGAATCCACCACTGAGAGTTACGCGAATGCCACGGTGCCTTAACGTCTCGATAACTTTGTGCTGCCGCTGTGGGCTTTCCTTCCCAAGGTGAACCAGTATAGCATGTATGATGTGGTATCTATGCTAAGAGAACTCCTTGCGTTGAGTGTCGTTCCTTGAGCATCTGACGCGAATAAAAATAAATAGATTTTGTTCAGCTTTTCCTATTTGAAGGTTGTGTCAATTTGAGCGTGTCATTTGGCGGTGATAAATAGTATAAGCTACTCTGCTAAGCCATAACTGTTTGGAGATGCGGTTGATCGGTGATAATGAACGGGCGATCACTTCCGATTTGCGTTGCGTGTCGTAATTAGGTCATTCGAGGACTACTCCCGATTGTAGGGCGTTAAACTCTGTCTAAGTATATTTTATCTTCAGAATGCGAACTTTTCAGGTTAATAGCCGTTAAAATAGGTTTCCCCACAACTGTATCTGGCGCATTAACTATTTATATGGCAGTGTTGAAACCTTACATAATTTTGGGAGGCAACAACCGATGTATTCAGAATCATTAGCAGATCAAAATTCGTTAAATTGCATTGGGACTCTGCTGTCACCATGGAAATCCAACGCAGAAACACTCTTGCCAACAAGTGCTACTTTGGACTGAGAGTAAAGTCCTCTCTCGACGTACGAAAACCATACTCTATAAGTCACTCATCCAGCCCGTGCTGGTATGTAGCGCAGAAGCATAGACAATAACCACATCCGATGAGGCGGCTCTTGAAGCTTTCAAGCGAAAGATTTTGCGGTTTATTTACGGGCCTTTACCAACACCGCAGACAATGGAACGATGAGCTTTGCCACGACATGGACCCGCTGGTGGTAGCAGAGGAATAGGGAGGCCCCTCTGCGATGGAAAGACCAAGAGAAGAAGGACTTGGCTTCACTTGGAATTTCAACTTGCCGTCAGTTGGCGCAGAAGAGAAACGACTGGCTTGCTTTGTTAAACTCAGCCGAAATCGCTTAGAACGAGAAGAAGAAGGATTCTGCATTATCATTTTCAATGGTTAAAAAGTGGTTTACTGAGTTCCGTTGTGGTTGATAAAATCCATGGAATGATATTGGAAGATCGGAGAATGAAAGTGTGTGAAGTGACTGAGGCTGTTAGCATCTCAACTGAGTGGGTATATCCTATTTTAGATGAATATTTGGATATGAAAAAGCTATCCGCGCGATGGGTACTGCGCTTGCTCACACTCGACCATAAACGCAACCGTGTGACCACTTCAAAGGAGTGTTTGGCGATGTGTAGCCGCAATCCGAACCAGTAGACGAAATATAGATTCACCACAACACATCATAGAGCAAGAAACAATCAAGAACTGCACTAAAAGTAATAAGTTGTGGTATGTTGGCCAATAGCGTAATGAGCGTGTCAGACGTGGCAATGCAATATATTTCGAAAAGGCTGTCAAATTGAGAAATTTCAGAAAGCAGTTGCATGAGCAGGTCACGCCTTGTATGTAAAGTGTCTTTCAAAAGATGGTTTTTTTATTTCCGAAAGGCGAATTGCAGATTGCAAGTGCATCACGAAAACGTTGAAATATATTTCCGAAATCGATTTGCGCGGTTTCAGTTGAATTCACTCGTTGCAACTTTTATTTCTGAAACTGATTTCCGAATGAAGAGTTCATCACTGAAATAAATACTTTTTTATGGACCCTATGTTGAGTAAACAAAATGCTTTTTTGTTCAAAAGGTCACTGACTTCGCACATTGTCCTTAGAATAGCACTACAGGCAAGTAAGGGCTAATAAAATGTACCAACTTTTTTTAATTTTCAGTATAAGCGCAGAAATTTACACATAACTACTTAGTAGTTCCTATGGGGATGGACTAGGGGTTTCCGAATCGGGTTCACATTTTCTTTATTATTTTAGGCGGTTTTTTTTTGTAATCTTGATGTTTCAAATACCGAGTAATCCATATCTACTTTTAAAATCGAACCGGGTTTCCAACTAGTTTATTTATACAACAGAATATTAACATTCTAAATATTTATTTTATTGAAAATGAAAATAGAACCTCTTCATACATTTTTTTAATTGAATACTGGCCAATTTGTCAGAAAATTATTTAAAAAAAAAATGCAAGGAAAACAAACGAAACTTTTTCAATGTTTTTTTTTTTTGTGAATCCACTACATGTAGTTTGCATTGTTATCTAACTGCAAGCGCCTCAGGGAAGGGCCAGATCCGACGGGTTTGAGACCTAGCGAGAAAGATGTCAGCTTTTTCTTAATTTGAAAATGGAGAACCGGTCTTTTTCAAATTGCCATTTTTTCGAATAACTCGAAAACCGGTTTTCGAAAATGGGGAATAATCGATTACCTAATCGTGCGAGATATTTGTTGTTATGTAACGAAAATTGCCTTGACGCTAAAATTAAATGCATCATGGATATGGATGCATATCTAAGATATGGACTAACTTGCAAATTTTTGTAAAACTTTAAAAACCTTTTTTTGTTTACCAGAAAACTGAAAGGAAGATGTAAAATAAAAAGGTACTTTGTTTTTAGCATTAAAATTATTTGCGCAATATTTATGCTTTAAATCAGTTATCAGTTCCAATTCTCTGTCATAGAAAGTTTATTTTCGAATAAGTTTCATCTGTTTCAAGTTGTACATATCTGGAGCGAAAAATCTTTACAAAGCCACGGGAATATTTATTTATTTATTTATTGCAGTAACGCATGGAGGCAAAGAACCGCAAAAAAAACATACGCACGTTGCAATGACGTCTGCCAAGAAAAGTTTTCAGTGCGCCACAAATACATATATGTATGTATGTGCATACGAATCTAGTAAGTACTCTCCATAACCACTTCTCGACTCCGGCTGAGTGCGTGCAATTCGATATGTTGGAATGTGTGGTGTGATGTAAACAAAACTAGCAATACAAAGCATATAAGACGAAATACGGAAAAAGTGGCACTAGCAACGCCGGCAACAACAATGACCTGTCGGAAGAAGACTTTCTAGTGTGGGACTTAGTATGTGCATATATTTAACGTAGATTCTTGCGAACTGTAACATTTCCTTTTTTACCACCTAAGTATGTACATAGCTATTAGTTTCAAATTGGCACTTCAAACTGCAACCATCCAATATGTAGTTTGCAGATACCTCAGCCACATTGAAAAAAGTTTAGGCACATTTATAATTATGCATAAATAATACATAGATATGTATGTACATATACATAGGTATGTGTCTAGGTACCGCAAACAAAGTAATTAGAGTTTCAATTAAAGCGCATAGCCGCAGCAAGCTCGCTATGAATTTTGTCTCAAATGCGAAACCAATTCTTTGGCCAATTTTTTTTTTAAACGACAGCCATGCCGGCGGGTGCACTATTTTTGCAATTTTCCATAGAAAATCGTGATTATATAAAACATTTATTCTTTTTTGCACATTTCCATACTTCATTTCATTTTACATAACATACTTTATTTTATTGCAATATGTATATATGTATGTATATATATTCTTTGTACCTATACATATTAGAAAAATATTGTTTAGCTGTTGGCAAACGAGTGTACGTTAAATTTATTGCACGTTGTTTTTGTATCTTTTCAGTTTAGCAATTGTTGTTGCATAAATTGTTAGAGATTGTATTGCAACTTCTGTTTTGTTATATTTCTATTTTGCCCATTTGTCGTCACAATCGCTGCTTTCAAAATTACTGCTACTGAAGCTTTTCAGAGGTTTTACAATTTTTTTTTTATTTTTTATTTTTTTTCAATGCACTGTTTTACGGATTTTAATTGCACTATTCATGAATTTTCAAAGAAGTACATACTAATTAAACACATTCAATTTTTTTTTTAATTTTGTATTTGTGCAAATTAATTCAATTTTGCATATTTTATTTAATTATTCTTCTTCACCACTTCACCAAAAACAGAAAAAAAATGGAAAACCCACCAAGAATTGACAACATTCGTTGTGCCTTTCTTTGCTCAAAATTGCATTTGTATTGTGGGTGAGTGAATTTTGCGTTGCGGCAAACGTTTGCCTTTGCATTCCTTTTATTTACTACTCGAACAAGCTCTACTAAGCAAGCGCTCGCGACAACTTCCTATGCGATACTGAAATCGAAACCGAGAAACTATAAACTCTGGCGAAATGGCAGAATGTATGGTGAACGACGCGAGCGGCGGACTGTTGTCGCTGTTGTTGAAACGTCAGCGTAAACAACACAGAAAAAATCGCAACAACAATGAGCTAATAAGTCAGCGAACTACCTATAAAACCTACACACATACACTTGCACACCCAGATGCACATGCACTCGGTCGACGTAGTGCAGCAGCGACGTAACCTAAACGCCAAAAGTCGAACATCGTGGCAGCTAGCGGAGCCGGCAACACAAATGATAACTAGTAATAGTTCTAACGACACACAAATAGAAAAATAACAGCAACTGCAACTGCAACAACAAAGCTGCGCGCGAGCAAACTTCAGCAATCATTTCGAATGCAGCACCCACGACCGTCCGTTGGCTGCCGCTACTCGTACGTACATATGTTTGTACAACACCCTACCTCTAAGCATCCCCAACACACGTACACCGCCCCTTTTCGGCCTCTGCTGCGGCTACAATCGGCAGTAGGCTACCGGCGAGCGATTGGAACCGCTTAAATGCTCCGTTGCATTCAACCACATTGGCATTGGAGAGCGCTCTGAACAACAGCTGATACGAGTGATATAATCTTTTGGGGGAGAGAGATCACACTTTGCAATATTTACTAAACGATAGAACTTAATTCGCCACTGGTCGTGTTGTTGACATTTTTGTTATTGTTTACGAACGTATCACTGATAAGGCAAAAGCTCTGCACGTTGATGCAGCTGTATGCATTGCTACTCGAGAGGCGAGAGAAAGAAAGCGCTTGTTGATGCTCTTTAAAGTTGCATGAATGTTGAAGCGAGCTTTAATAATAAGAGTGTGAAAAGAGTTAAAAGTGAAACTTTTAAGAGAACATCAGGTGCTGGTAACCGTTTGTATTAGTGTGGGTTGCGGACCAGTCGGTTGTGATGATTGTGTGTAGCCGGAAGTGTCAGCCATACATTTAGAATTTTACACTAGGGTATCCGGTGATTTTTAGGCATTTTCTCGTGCTCTTTTTTTCTTGTTACTTTTGGTTTTTTGAAGTTTAGGTGAAAAAGTGCACATTTCAAGGCGAATTAATATAGGTGGTGTTACTAGCTCAGCTGATTTTGTGTATGTGTTTCGCCGCACGGCTTCTGATGTCAAATTGAAAAATTTTGTTTGAATTTCTACACACACTCTTACAGATTTCGACAGTTTATGCCGCCAAAGCAAAAACAAAATACATGTAAATTTTGGTTTTTGTACTCCTACTCATGATAAAAACATAGCAAGGTATAACCGTTCTCTCAATTTGTCGGCCATGATTTTTTTTTGAAGTTTGCCAACATTTTAAAATCATATAAAATTGAAAATAAAAAATTGAAATTGTTCGAAATTGTTGTTGCTTGAGATTTAAAATGAAAATGTGTGTGTGAGTTTGTGAGTAAATTTAAAAATTAAATTGTTTGGAAACGTCAAGAATTTTAAAAGTGACTCTCAGCGGTTCTACCTTACTATATTTTTATCATGCTCCTACTATCACCTTATATTAATTCGCCTTGGCACATTTGTTATTTCAAACAAGACAGCCGGTACCAGCGGAAATGGCAACCATTTCTTAGTAACGGCGGTTCATCTGTCTATTATTTTGAGAATTGAAGGGAACAATACAGATCGCAACGCAAGAAGAGTGACGCGTGGCTGCTGCAGAAAAATACGCAGCATATAAAGCTACCCTGCAGGAAATGGCGAAACGTACGGCAATTGTGCGTTACCGGGAAAAGGAGGGAATAGAGACGCCTTTTCAAGAGAAAGAAAAGAGAGGTAGAAAGGCGTTAGTGTGAAGAGCTTGAGGTGCTGGCAGGAAGGAATGCGGCTCGTAAAATCTATCAGAAAATAAGTCAGCAATCAAATGGTTTTAAGATCGGGGCTAGCTCCTGTAAAGATGGAAATATGGTAACAGATGTCTTTGTAGTGGCAATGTTGGTTTAGGGAGAATTCTTGGCTATAATGAGACTTTATTCGGTGATAGATGAAATGCTGAAAGCCAGTCACTAACAATAGATAAGCAAGCTAGCTTGGCAGCTTTGTCTGCGCTTTCGTTGCCCGATATCCCAACGTGTCCAGGACACCATAGCAATTGAATATTTTTGTTGTTGAATAAGTGTTCGCGAATAATTTAAAAAACTTATTGTGTTCGAAATGCAACAGTGGACGCCAGGTGTCAGTGAAGCTTGCAAATTTCTGCAAATTCCTGTTCGCACTAAACTTTGTAAGTTTCTCTCTTTGGGAGAGTAAGATACTTTATTCTCTGAATTTTGTTGCTAGCTAATTCTTACTGGCTTTTCCAAACGAACACCACTTATACCAGGAGATGTTATAAGAACGAGAATACACCATCTCATTTGAAAATTTGCCCTGAAAAACTTCGATATAATAGCATGTCATAGAATGTCAAAAAAACTGAGGCGAGAAAGCTTTTTTATTACTTCACCTGTTCATAATTTCTCCATAAACAATCCCATGTTGATTCGGTGTAATTAGATTAGAAACTGAATAAATACATAGACATACATTTTTTTACCACAGATTTGGATTCTACGAATGACAAGTCATTTTTAAGCAAAAAACACAACCGACTTTAATTCTCATATAAAAATTTAGGAGTACCGGTAATTTTTTCATGAATGATCGGATCTAAGCCAAATTAGTATGGGACCACCTGTGAGACACTATCTTTCCGATAGAATTGTCGAAATCGTTTGACGTGGTCCAAAGTTATGCGGTAACATACATAAAAAAAAATAAAATAAAAACACGAGTAATTTTTAAGCAAAAAACAAAACCGACTTCAATTCTCATATAAAAGTTTAAAAGTGCCGTTAATTTCTTCATGATCCAATGATCGGATTTCAACGAAATTAGTATGAGACCACCTGTGAGGTGAGGCCTTGCCTTTAAAAAGGAATTATAGAAAACGGTTAACGTCGTCCAAAGTTATGCGGTAACATACATAAAAAAATAAAATCCGACGTATAGATAACCTTCTCCCTTTTTTTAAGTCGGTTAAAAACACATAACTTTTTTAGGAAATTATTTTCTGGAATGGACATCCGGTTGAAATAATTCACTTCCGGTATATTTAATCCACTTCCGACCGGAACCAGAAGTAAGTAATACGACCAAAAGATGGAGCATTGGTAGGTCATGTTTTTGCGTTATTCAACAAAAAGTGTACCCCCATTTTAGAGGGGATGGGCCGGTGGTCTAGGACACCCTGTGTATAGTGTGTACGCCCTCGATAACAACAAGGATGTTACAAATTACAGGCCTATCATGAGGGTATTCTATTTATTAACCAGTTTGTAATATTTAAACCCACCTGTGACTTAGCTATCATTCTTGGTATTGATTCTTACTGTGAAATGAGATATGAGATTAACATCAATATCGTTGATGACAGTTAGGTTAGGTTAGATTACAGTGATTATCTCGAACAGGGACGCACTTGAACAATTAAGAGATTGTCCTTTGTGATAGGACGAAAGCTTAACGGATACCACTAATTTAGTAGGCGAAACGCCGAAACTTTAATGCCTGAGAACTCATCAGGATAGGTTAGGAAGTGTGAACCAAAATGTTTCCATCTTCGGAGTTTGCACGCAAACGTCAAGCTGTGAAGCTGTGTTTTTCTGTGATCTGTCTAAATTTTGTATTTGATAAAGCTGTTTACGCTTATTAAAGTAAAAAATTAAAAAGTGTTAATAAACTTCTGGTGCACAATTTAAAGATAAGTAAAACATCAAAATTTCCCGTAAATTTGATTAATTTAACTTGATATTCTTAATTGCATGTGCCGAGTATTTTGTTTCATATAATATATTGTTGTTGTACAATTGTTTTTGTTTGTGCACATTGATTTTGCTCTTTTTGTCTTTTTGTCATTTCTGCTGTTTCATCTTTGTCACAGCTGTTTGCGTTGTGTTTATTAGGTGTCAAATATACAGTGCATCTAAAACTGTTCGCTAACTGATATTTACCAGCTGATTGGTTCACTGATTAATACATCGTTTTCAAAACCGTTTTTGCTTTTTTGCTTCTAAAACCTAAAAATAAATATAATTTTAAACATGTCGTGTATTTACACCAATTGCCACGTTAAAAGCGACTCCTATGTGTCATGCTGGCTCTGCGATGGGATTGCCCATATAAAATTGTCTGGTTTGAGCGGTAGAGTTTTAGACGCTATTAACGAGGGTAAGGGTCTTCGTTGGTCTTGTCAAAAATGTAGATCAACCGAAGTTGATTTATTTAAATTCTTCAGGCAGTCCAGAAATGGTTTTTCTGAGATCGGGAAGGATCTGTCGGCGCTTGTTGAGAAATTTAAGCATTACGAAAAAATGTTTAGGTCTTTCACTTGTCTCGACGACCCTCCACACTCTGAGGATAGCCGAGAAAATAAAGGTGGGCATGTTATTAGTCCACCTAAAAAGACAGCCACGGATTCTAGTAAATAAAATCCTCCATCCCAGTCCTTAGAACTTATTAATTTATCTTCTCCATGCCCTCAGGCATTGGAGCCTCCGATTTCTAAAGCCATATCCACTAGGTCTACTTCTAAGAATAGTCAAACCGTTGATTTAACAGTGTTGCCATCAACATCTCAAACTCCACTGTCTAACTTAGTTCCTCCGAATAACTCGGAGCCCCGCACATCAGACATCATTACCAAAAAGTTGGTTGTAATTCCTCCGAGAAGATCAATCTTTGTCTCTAGATTTGCTAAAGATACTTCTTCGGATGATATAAAGTCATACATATCGACTAAAATTAGAACTAAAGATGTATTTATTCGTAAATTTAATTTTAAATACGATCGCGATATTTCATCTTTTAAAATTGATGTAGCTTCCGAAGATTTTGATTCACTACTAAATAGTTCATTTTGGCCGACCGGGGCGTTTGTTCGCGAGTTTGAGTATAAACCTAATAAAAGTAATAATAACGTAGCTAAAATTCCTAA